CAGTTGTGAAAATAGCCAGTGTCAAACTAGTGCAAAATTAAACTTGTGGGGTGTTCTGTTTTCAGTGTCTGTTATTGTTGAAGTACTCCATTTCAAAAGCATGCGTTCCTTCCTACAGAAAAAGGAATCAGATTCCTTAGTTGAAATTAATTAGCATTCAGAAACCAGATAGCATGTTTTTGGGTATTCATGAGATCTCTGTTTGAAAAAATGTTTTTAACTTGTAGAAATGTGTTGCAACACACAGATGGGAAGAAAAAGAAAAAAAAAATCTCTTTAGCAAGCACTGTGTGTAAAAGGAATATTACATTTTGCACGCTCCTGATTACCCTGTGTAAACAGTTTTTGACATCTGTCTTTATAGTTTTCGAGGAGAGGAAGACTTTGTTAAAAGAACCATTTTTATACAGCAGTCACCATTTCAGTCTTGCTTTACCTGTATTATGAAAGCAGATGGTCTGCATGTCTTTTGAATATTTATAACTATCAAAAACAATCTCTTGCTATTCACCCTTAGGCTTATGAGATGTCAGGACTGTTCTGGTTGAAAAAAAATCATCTTGGGTGTTTACAGAAAGAGGATTACATTAAGCTGAAATGACTATACATTTTCCAGTTTAATATTTGTCCATCAGCTGTTTAATCGTATTTAGATAATTGTGTAAATAAGTTGTTGCAGCCCTTGCCCCTTCCACTGAGCAGGCTTGAAGCTTTAAACACTGATGAATGAGTAGCAAAAAAGCTTGGATTTTTTTTTCCCTGGTTAAACAACCTAAAAGGCCTAAGTAAGTTTTGGTTACAATGCTTCTTTTGAGGGGGATGTTTCATTTGCAAAGGAATCCCCAATATCCAATTCAGCTGAGTTGTTTTAGGAAGCTGTTGTGTCTGTTACTCACTGCTAAGCCTGTTAGTACGTATTTGTTCTGTGTAAATACTGCAGCCCAACTGCCCCTTCATGAGGCATGAAAACAACCTCGTTCTACCCATATAGAAATAATTTTAAGGTTATTTAGGGGAAGTTTTGGGACTGTGGGGGTTAAAAGCTTTTTTGACTGGAAGCTGAGCAATCACTGATAACAGATTTTGCTGTGGTTGGTTGATTTGGCAGAAAAGCATGAACAGTTTTGGTTTAGATGATTGAATTAACCTGATTAACATTGTTTTTGTTGTTTTGCAAAAAGGACAACAGTATACTTTTAGCGATGATTGAACAATACTTCACCTGGTTGGTGAGCATTGTTAAGGGAAATGATTCAAAAACACCTCCTTTGTAGCACCCCAAACGGTGGCTGAAATGACCAGCCAGCATAAACCCTCAATTTCTCCTCTTGTCTTGCAGGATGCACTTTACCTTAGGTTTAGTGTCTGATACCGCTACTTTATCAATTTTTATTCAGCGGGCATTCGAAACAATTTAGCATATTTCCCCAGAGAGCTCCCCAACTTCTTTGAGAAATTACAGTGTCTGGTTTTCAAATCTCTTGATATTTAATCTTCCCAAGAGAATGGGATTTGGTTCAAGCTACACTGAGTGAACCTCAGCTGAACTTCAGAACAAATCTAGCCCTACCTCCACACAGTTGTTGGATGCCTAATTATAATTAACTTATTTGGCTAAAAAAAGAGCACTTAGGCTGCAGCAGATGGTATCATTCCAGAATAGTGGGATTTCTGTGAAGGTGGCACCATTTCAGACTAGATCTTCTGATTCTCAGAAAAGGGCTGCAAGTATACTGTTTGGGGGAAGGGTGGAGGGAGATGAGAGAGGGAAATTGGTGGTCTGGAAGTCCTGCAACTTAAGTTTCAAGGAGAAACTTGCAGGAGAGATGTCAAGTCTGTGGATCTGTGACCCGTTTTTGCATTTTGTCAATTTTCTTTGCAACATATGAAAAAGAAATCAGAGTATGAGTGATAAATGTGATGCATTTGAATATGTCTGATATTTCTATGGTATATTCATATTCCTTGTACATAGACATACCTTATCTGTGAGTCACAGAAGCAGATAAATTCCATGTACTGTTGTACTTGAATATGATGTGTTTCAAATAGGATCATTCTCATTTTGATTATTGATAAATCTAAACTGAGGTGTGGGGAGCTCCTTATGCACAGTGATCTGGGAAAGAGGAAAAGCTTCAATGATCCTCCAGTCTAGGTTGTGGATGTCTGAAGGCAACTAACTCAGAAGAAGACTTCAGTCTTCAGGTTTAGGCCCTAAGTGTAGTGAGCATCCATGTATGTAAACTGCTACTAAAACATAGAGGAATCGGTATTTCCTAGTAGCTTTTTTTTTTTTTTTTGAACCCCAAAGAAAAGGTCTGCAGATAGGAGATAAAAATCCACTGGCAAAGTGATTCATTGGATCAAAATTTGCTGGTAATATACTTGAAAAATAATATTATTTCCAGGTATGTAAAGGGACCACCTTTCTGGTAGCTGTTGATTACTGCCTTCCAAATAGTTTGTTCTGCCTGTCTCTACAGAAAAGTGCATCTCTCTGCACTGATGTGACTGCAGGTTTGATGACAACATAATAAATCAAGGATAGAAACAATGAAATCCAATATTGTCAAGTTATTTTCCGAGTTAATAAGGTAGTAATATTTTATCTGGTTTGTAAAATTTTGCCTTCAGTGAATTAGTAAATAAATCATTGATTCCTCCTGATGAGGATTCTTAACGTAGGTAATATCACTTGAATGTTTCTGTGAAGTGTTCTTGAAGAAAAAGCAGGATAATTTTAATTTTGAAATAGGTAGGTAATATCTGTGGGTTTTTTTTCTTGATACTTCGAAAATCTAGAATAAAATCCCAATAGTAGCCATCAGAGTCTCAAATTCACATCGTATCAAAGAAGCTAAAGTTCCAAGCAGTGTTTATACAGTCTGCTCCCCTGTTTGGTTGTAAAATAAAGTAACTGCATTAAATTTGTTCTCAATGAAGCAGGGCATGTCACAAACTGCCATATCATTGGCATGTCGTCTTTGTAAAATGACATGGATGAGAAGATTAGGAAATCTTAGGCAAACGTCTTCATCAGTAATAGCAAATTCACTAAAATTACTACTAATGTACGTGTTTTCGTGCTGTTAAAATTATTATTGCAGGAGAAGACGATAGAAACAGGCAAAATCAAAATGAAAAAGATAAAACCTGAAATCTAAATTATAAACACAACAAATGCATAAACTAATATGGACAAAGTGACCCATTACATGTGCAGCTCCCCGGTTTGCACATGCAAATACATAGGTTGCATGTGCAGTTGTCCATGTATTTGTATAATTTGTCAATTCAGATTAATAGGAGTAATTTTTAATGATGCTTTATGTATCTTGTGCCTAGGTTTAAAATGATTAAATCTCTAAAAGAGCTTAAACAATAATTTTGTAAGTATTGGACGTTAATGATACTGCTACTACACTGGAAATTGAAGCTGAGTTCAGCTGAGCTTGATTCAGGCCATTCAGGCTAAAGTTACAGTAATCTACCAAGATTTCATTCTACTTTTATACTACTGACAAAAGGCTTCTAGCTAATTTCAGAAATGCTAGATTAATATCAAGGAATGGTAAGAATTTTGGTGATTCAGAAAAACGTAATAATAGCTTCCTGATGAGTAGAGGGTGTCCATGCGTGGCATAAATAATACAGCCTCACTGTAACGGTACTGAGGTTCCACAAATAGCATGTTACTGAGTAACACGTTAGAAAACAAATGGTTATAATGAGCTTCACTAAGATCGATAATCAAGGCACTTTCACTCAGAAGCTGAAAGAGCCTTATAATAGGCAGTCTTATAGTAATATTTATTGCATTTTTACTCTAAACTGTTTCTTCTAGTGGTTATCACAGTTTGTATAACAAAGGGTTCATGCTGTACATTGATTTTACGACAGCACAAATATAGCTAAATGTTACATGCTGAATAGCAAAGAAACATAATAATCAGGGCTTTGTCTTCTTGACTGTCATTGTTTTCTCAATATGCTGGACAAGTCCTGTAGTTAAGCTAAAAGTAACTACTTTCCACGTAAAAATTTAAAGGGTGGCAAAGTTCAGTCTACTGAAATTGCATTTACTAATTTTGTTGCTCATACATCATATACTGAGTATAATTTTCAGGTTGGAGCAGTGCTTCATTTTGCAAGGCTTAGTCTTAATTGATTTTGTAAGAGAATGTACTAGAGTTGAAAGTTTTATGCGTTGTAAATTCTGCTGTATTAAAATTGGCTAAATCTGAGCAGAAGGTAAATTTCTCACTGTAGCTCTCTGATACCTCAAGAACACTTTGAGACAAAATCATCTCTATCATTCTGTAGCATATTTTATGGCTACTATTCAGTTATAGAATTAGACATGTCAATGAGAGTTGTTCATAAGCCTGTTTCTGTGAATCATTTAAATATCCTACTTAGGAAAAGCAAGTCTGGGATTGTTTTGGTCTGATACATATGTATTTTATCCTACTATAAACCACCTTGCTGTATCCTACTATTAGCTCATTCAGATTAACTTTGGACTTACGATTTTCTGGGTTCAACCCTGTAGGAAAGCAGCACGAAGGGAACGAGCATGGATATCTTGCGTGGTTGTTTGCGTTTCTAGAGTCAGTGTAGTGTCTGTAGGCCTGTAAACTTGTGTGGGTATGGGAGGGCTCAAATGAATTTAAAAGCAGAAATAGTATTAAAAATGCATTTTCAAGATGAACATCTTCTTCAGTTTAGAGCCCATCCCATTGCCCAATGTTTCTTTGTCAATAACTTTGTTCTTCGCTTAGTACATCTACTTTTTTGCTCCAGTTTATAGTATACCTTGGTTTGTTTTAATGCCCAATTAATGAGTTTTTTAAAAGGCTTTGGACAGTAGGATTAAAAATGCAACATGGTTCTCAAACCCTAAAAATATAATGGTTTCAACAATTGAAATAATTTGTGCTTTGACTTGTACTGCTATGTATTTCAGATGACTTTTTTCTTTTCCCCTTTTCACACAGAGTATGATTTCTTCCATTGTGAACAGCACTTACTATGCAAATGTCTCAGCAGCAAAATGTCAGGAATTTGGAAGGTGGTATAAACATTTCAAGAAGGCAAAAGATATGATGGGTAAGCAAAAAAAAAAAAAAAAGTTGCCACGATGGTAGTTACATACCATTATGTGTCACATTGAGGTCTGTCACAGTCACATAAGAAGCCAGGTCCCTTCATGATAAGTTTAGGATGCTTTTGATGAGTAGATGTAGAAAGTACGTATATAGTGAAAGAATTCATTTAAATAAATATTTGCTATTGAAGCAGCCAAACTGACTTGGATTGCCAGAGATGTAAAGCTGTCATTCTGTAAATGTAGAGATCTTCTACAGCCTAGAATAATTGTTTAAAAAACCTGTTCCTAGAAGTATGACGGACTGATTTTCTTTTTAATGCACGTATTTTTTCTTGTGGTAGCTAACATATATTTAAAGAAACAATCTTCTATAACTGTCACTGCCTTGCAACAAGAGTGCTACGTTTTTATAAACTCTCATCTTTCTCTAACTTCAGGGCCCTGGTTTCAATTCATTTTAAATAATAGTTGGGACAATTGTTTGCCTGTTCTAGTTAGCGTGTGTAAATTACTGGAGGAAAAAAAACTAACAATGGGGTGTACTAATTCTTTTATACCCTTTCTCTTTCTGTATTGTCCCTTTTAAAACTGTTTCTTAAACCTGTTAACATCATTTTGAACACTTTATGTCAGAAAATCTCTTCATAATTTTCAATGGAATGAAGAAATGGGACACCATTTGGACTGAATTTTGAGCTTGTTTTAGCTTTCAGTATTTGAAGCAAAATCATTCATCTACCAAAACGGGTTACTTGCCTTTTACGGCTTAAGGCTGTAATGAAGACAATGCATCACTTTTGTGATAATTGCTTGAATTACTATTCCAAGTGAATGGCCCACTTGGGTTGATCTCTACTTTCCGCTAGTGAAAACAGGCAGCTCCTTTCCTTAGTCTGCCTTGTACCTTCTGTGTAATGCTGACCGCTCTAAAAGTTTATAGTCTTCCAAGATCATCGAAGTCAGTGGTAAGACTTAACTTGGTTCCAGGTGGTCCATGTGCCAGTCAGCGTGGCCATGGACGGGGGGATGTGACCGTTCCCACAGCATCCTCCGCCACTTCCGTTGCAGGGAAGCTCTTACGGCAAGTGCTATGCATGGCGCAAACGCTGCAGAGGGAGCGTAGGGAGAGCGCGCTTGCCTCTGGGGCAGGAGAGGAACGCAATTGGCTGCAGTCTGTGTTATGTGACCTGACAAGACAGGTTCATAGCCTGTTCTTTTGGGGACACTGAAAACAGCGTATATGAAACGTGTGGGTGTGCTTGCTTCTGTATAACCTAATGCTGGGAAGAGAGGCCAATGTGTCCCTGAAGCCACGCTGAGGAGGAACGGAGACAAGGCGCTTTGCTGAGGGACTGCAACTCGCTTCTAGACACCAGACCTCTGTGCAGACAAACCTAGCTTTTTAATTTCTGCCCGTGATGGGAGAGAGGGGGAAGGCAGGGGTGCAGGTGGCAGTCCAGGTGCCGGTTTCTTCTTCCAGGTCTCATCCCTCTGGAGGACAGGGTGATCTTTTACTGAAGACGTACTGTTCTACTGTTAATGAAGATCATAATTACTATGAAAAGCACAGATATTGCTTTTTTTTAAAAAAAAAAAAAGTTTTTTTATTAGTATAAGAAGAAATTGCTACAACACTTCTGTGAAGATACTGGAATTTTGCCTTTTAAATAAATGCATATTTTCCTAAAGCTATTTCTAAACCAACGTTGCTAAAAATCTAGAACTGAAATTGCTTACAATGGAAAAGTGCCATACATTGATAAAAATGAGACACTTTTGCATTAACCTGGAGTTATTGTATATCATCTTATTCTGTACAAGAGGGGAGCTGGAAGAACTCTTGTAGTTTAAAGAGGCATGTTGTTAATTAAAAAAAGAGGGTGTGTCAACTCAGATGAGTTGATATAAGAAAAAAGTCAACCATGTTGCAAGTCACTGAAAAAACAAGATGTATACATGGTTGCAAGCTAAAGCAGCCCATCTGTGTAATTTACATAAATTATACTACTTCCTAGCGGTCCCATACAATTGATGCAGCATCTAGAAATTAGCAGAGCATGGGGCGGTCCACACCCTGTCTGACTTGTTATGGATTTCCCGTGGCTGGGAACTGTAGAGTAGTGAGGACTCCACAGGAGTAACAAAATTAGTCATTGGGGGCTTCTTTCTCTTCCCTTCCCTTTCACAAAGGTCTGGATATGCTTTCCAGTGTCGGCCCCCTTTCCCTTTGTGTATATGCACTCATTGTTTCACATGCATTTTCTGTAGTGTATGGATTGCTTTCCTATCTCTCGTCCATACCGCCTCTCTAGTTGCTTGCTGCCCTTGTCTCAAGTACTTTACATCCAGCATTGTATGCCAGCTTTCTGCCACACGCTCGTGTTTTCTCTTGCAATTGTTATGTTGCACCTTTGCAAAGCTCAGGAAAAGTTACTCCTTTGCCTTGTACGGTTTCCAGCCCATTGTTTCAGTTCTGATGTTTTGCTAGTTCATCCTAGGGCTCCACGATGATGATGATGGGCTGTTTGCTGGGTTTTTTTTTAATGTCTACTCCACCTTCCTGGGAAGGCAAAAAATAGTAGCAGTGATGAACTATGACGGACCGTACAGTGAGCTCGGACATGCATGTGATACTTTATTTATTTATTTTTATTAGCACGTCTTGTGAGGAGTGTGACATACGCAATTTTTGGTTCCTCTGTAGTCTTATGTTGGCTTCTTCAATGTTTCTTTTCCACCGTAGTTGAGATGGATAGCCTTTCTGAACTATCCCAACAAGGTGCCAACCATGTCAACTTCGGTCAGCAGCCGGTCCCAGGGAACACAGCCGAACAGCCTCCATCCCCTGTTCAGCTTTCTCATGGTAGTCAACCATCCGTTCGGACCCCGCTTCCAAACCTGCACCCTGGACTTGTATCTACTCCCATTAGCCCTCAGCTGGTAAATCAGCAGCTGGTAATGGCCCAGTTGCTGAACCAGCAGTATGCAGTGAACAGACTTCTAGCCCAGCAGTCCTTAAACCAACAGTACTTGAACCACCCTCCTCCTGTCAGTAGATCCATGAACAAGCCGTTGGAGCAGCAGGTCTCAACAAACACAGAGGTGTCTTCCGAAATCTACCAGTGGGTCCGCGATGAACTGAAACGAGCAGGAATCTCACAGGCAGTATTTGCACGTGTGGCTTTTAACCGAACTCAGGTCAGTCTTTTCTGGGTTTTTTCTGTTTGGGTTTTTTTTTGTTTTTGATCTGAGAGTCCCTCCTTTTTTTTTTGTCCTTTTTTTTTTCCAGTAATTATCACATTTTAAGTCTCTCTCTTCATTTCTGCCCTGCCGCTTAGCTCCTGTGGAAGAACCACACTTCCTGGTGTTGATACAGTATACAGATCTCCAATGACCCAGTTTGTGGATATACCCGCTCTTCTTAGAGGTGTATTTATTCCTTTCCAGTTGTAATGGTTTTGAATGACTTAATCTTTACTGGAAAGGAAAATGAACAGCTCTGTGCCATTCACAAAGTCACCCAGCACATTTTCTTTTGTGTTGTAAAGGTATAGCTACACTGACCATATGCATGCACTGAACAACAGTCATCTTAGATGTTCTTCAGATAGTCTTTTAATCTTATTTGCATTTCGTTTTATTATTTTCTAGTGAAAATCGTAATAACATGACACATTCTGAAAAGACCTCAATTAAAAAAATAAAAGTTTTATTTTTAGGTTTTCTGTTCTTTCATGTGGGTTTGTAGCTTGTTGTTTTGAGATTGCCTATGTCCACATCAGAGAATATACTTCAGCTCTTCAGTGCAGAAAAAACTTTAGCCCTAGCAAAGCTGATAAGTAACACTAAAATGTGTTATTTTTTACACCTGTTTTAGAAGCTAACCCTGTTATAATTTATTCTGCTCTATGAATTTAACTTAATGCCATGTTGCATGGAATTTAATCAAGCAGAAGTTGCAGGAGAAATGTCAGTGTATCCAATGCAAATAATAAGATCTCAAATTTTAAAAAAAATCTGTTTTAACAGAAAATATAATAGGATTCTTAATAAGAAATATTTTGAATGTATGTAAGTAAATTGGCTTCAGATTCCACATTTTTAAACTTAAGGAACAAGTATTTGTCCATTGTAGAATATAATAGAAAATTATAGTTTGGGCCTTTCTTGAAGTGTTGATGTTTCTCCTTGCATGGCTTACAGAATGAAAACCGTTTCAAATGCACTGGTACCAGGTTTGCAATAGCATGTCATTTGTAATCATTCTGAATTATTATTATTGCCTTAAAATTTTTTTACATTCTCCTTTAGCTAAAAGAAAGTACATAGTGCGATTTCTCTGTAGAGCTGTGTGTGTGTCCGTCTGTCTGTATGTGTGTGTGTTTTCCTTCTTAACTATGCAGGTCTTGTTGTTTCATGGGTTACTTGTGTAACTTATATGAGTTAAGTTCCAGCAGTTGATATATTTATACATAAGTGAACATATATTTGTTTAATACCATATTTAATATTTTGACTATTGCTAATATTAAGTATTGGTTCCTCTGTAGTCTTATGTTGGCTTCTTCAATGTTTCTTTTCCACCGTAGTTGAGATATACGGTGAAATAATAATATATTCCAGTTACTGTGGTCTGGGGCTGTCATCCTACAGGGGCAAAAAGCTGAGCAAATAATTCAGAAAATGAATAATGCATTAGTTATTCACTTCTTGAACTTGTCTAAAAGCAGCTATTTTCTCCCAGCTTCCTTCCTCCTCCAAATTCATTTGTTCAGTTGTTGTCAGCTAGTTTTGCATACAGTTTTTGGTCTGTCATTTGTGCATGAACATGATTTGTTATTTGGAATACAAGGATGATTGGTTCTGACTAGACTTCAAATTTATATGACACAGCATATAAAGATACCCTTGAGATAGGATGAGTGCAACTATAGGTCCAGATTTCTACTGCATGTGCCGATTCCTAATTACTAGACATTTTTCTTACTACAAATGCTATCAAAATTTGCTTGAAGTTCATTTCTTCCACAGACATCGTGGTTAACCAGTTTGATAAAATGTGTTCAAAGTGACCCAAACTGGGAGGAAACCCAAAAAGTGAATATTGGAAAAAAAAAAGTCCAGTGAAAAGATGTGAGATATATACACACACACACACACACACACACACACGCATACATATATATACACACATATATATGTGTATGTATGTAATATATTTTGGCAATATTCAACCAGATCTACTTTAAAGAGCACAGAGTAGTATCCCCCATATCCTACAAATTGTGTTAGCTAATCATATTAGTATTTACAGTTAGCTGTTTAAGTGTTTGCAATATTTGTTATTTATTGTGGCAAATGTAGGGAACAGAAAGGAAAAATACTGGGAGTTTAGACAATACTAGCCTCACTCTTGCTAAAAGATATTTCAGCCTGCTCATAGGCAAGTGAAGCCCCATTGATTCCAGAGGAGTTCATTGTAGGCACATTTTTTTCTTTGCAAGATTAAAACTTGTCATTTATACCCACAGTAACAGCTGAAGCCCAAGTAGGCCTACAGGTATAGATACCTGTGATTTTTATATGAAAGCATTTAGATTTGATTTGCTTGCTGTACTTCAGAATTTATAACAGCTTATTCAAGGATTTATCCTAGGATCACATTTAAGTACATTTAAGTAAAATTAGGGTAACACTTCAGTAAGTGATGCTTTTTTTTTTTTTTTTTTTGGAGCGAGCAAATGGAAATACTTGTTTAAATTCAGCTACTGTTTTCTGAGATAAAAAGCTAACTCAGGCTTAACACTGACATTTCTGAAACTGTCATAAGCATATTTGAGCTGTGTCCAGGGACCATATCATGCCATCAGCTTTTGAAGGCAGGAGACCTCACTGAAATCAGTTAGGAGTTCTGCGCAAAAAAACCCGATGTCTAGATATAGTCTCAGATGAGGGAAGAGATTCACTTTCAGCATAAAAGTAAAGGAAGGAAGTGAATTTTAAAACTAAGAGTAATTCAGCTTAATGTTTTGGCAGTAAAAATGGACTTTAGCTGAATTAGCGGAAGGTTTTGGCACCTCCCATTTTACAGACTTGCGCTCTGCAATATGAATCCAGAATTTGGTAGGTTTTTGTGTGAGTAGGGAGAATTCTCCCAGTTCAGAAATCATCTTTTGGCCATATTTTTCAAGGATTTTTGGGCTGGGGGAAAAATGTTGACCAGAAATGTTTCTGCTTACTTCCAGCCCCAAGCAAAGAATTTTGGTAAAATTACTTCTGACCTTCTTTCTTTTAATTATCATTTAGAAGACAGAAAAAAAAAAAAAAACCCTCAGCCACACCTAAGGAAACTGAAAGGGCGTTCTTAATCTCTTCTTGGAGAATTTCTCCCGAGCCCTAGCTTCAGAGTGGTAGTTTCAAAAATGTGTAGTTCTCAGGAATGTCTCTCGCAAAGATTAATCAGAGAAGAGTCCAGAAAGCTGTAACTTGAATGAAAATTAGCATCTCTACATGCACAATGGAGCGATTGTTGTAGTCAGCAGCAGTTTCTGCGGGTGGAGCAGCTCTCCCCGCGAGAAATTTCTCAGTATCGCTCCTAGGAAGGCTTCAGCGCGCAGTGGGCTCCAAAGTTTTATTTGTCCTTCAGCAGTTGCTATTCCAGCTCACTGGCTGCAAAGAAATAGATTGAATCCTGTTAGTACCGCTTTGTAGTGCACCGTGAAAAAGTTTGTTGAGTCAGGATTTGTCCTAGCAGGTCCGAATTTCACCTCAAGCCTGGCTAGCAAATGTGTGTACCAGTTTCTGTGTTTGCGAGGGTAATTTCAGTAAATTGAGCTGCTTGTTTCGGTTGCCAATCAGCTGAATTAATAAATTTAGTGTTCTTCTCCAGCTGATGTCAGTGCACTGTGCAGACGCCTCATTCTGTTGAAATTCAGTCTTGGTTCAGCTTTTTGCTGCGTTTTGCTCGGCATGTGTGCACCGACCAAGGGCAGCCCCAGGCGGACGTGCCGACACGCGGCGTCCCTATGCCAACCCTTCCCGCAGCCTCCGTGAGCAAATAGGGTCAGGCCGACTCTGCCCATTTGCTATGAAACTGAGAGGCCCTTTACTCTGTTCAGCTTTCTCGAAAGTGCTGGGGCATCCGCATGTGTTCCTCTCAGCCACCTCGAGAGCACTAAATAAATAAACAAACGCCCTCTACCATTTCTGTCATGTTTGTAAATGCAAACATGAGTCAGGAGATGGCAAGCTTCGGTTCCCGCAAGGAAGTCTCGACATTTGGCTTCAAGGTGTAATTTAAGCTGGTGCACGGTATAGTGACATATGTGTAGGGTGCAGGCAAGGAGCAGTTAGTCATGGTTGTGGCTGGAGCCGTGTGGTCTCTGAATCGCCAGTGTTAGTGTTTGCGTGCGCTTTCAATCATCACATATGTGGCATGAACTCGGGTTTTGCTGTGCAGAGATGACCTCTCCTCTCCAGCTTTGCAAAAGGAGGGGGAGTGCTTTTGCCACTTTTGCCATGTCTAACTATTGTCATTTTTCTTCTTCCCCCAAGTGACAATTTTTCATCTCAAGGTTTTGGAATACTTCTCCGTGTTTCTGCCAGATACTTTTCTCTCCTCCTCCTTTCTACTTCACCGCCATGCATCCTCAAAAAATCAGTTGCCAGAGTACACTGCATTTTGTTCATGTAAAGTGCCTTTTTTCATACGTGAATACTTCTGTCTATTTAGGACAGTGCTCATACTAAGTCTGGGCAATTGTTATTTTCAGGAAGCACACTTGGATGCAGTAAACTGGTCTCTGTAATTTTAAAACAAAATCCAAGTTTACACCAACTACCTTCTCAGGCACTTTTTTTCCCTTCCATTTTGTCTTTGGCACACTTTATTTTCCAGTAAAATGAAAAATGAAGATGGATTATTCAAAATTGATAACAGTAATGGACCATCATGTAATGTTTTATTGAATTTGAGTTCTGTAAATTATGTGGTAGAGAGAAATTTGCCTGCTTAAGTATAACAGAAATTGCCACTGTATTCATATAATTCTTCGTAGTGTAATTTAAGAAAAGCACACTATCCATATCACTATTGAATAAAAGGTAAAAAGGTGCTATTACACTATCATGACAGCTCTCCTCTTGCTACTAAGCGACATAGATAAATGTGTCTGCTTATAACTTACCTGGCAGGGAGCCAGGCTTGGGGGTGGAGCTTGCACATAATCTTCCACCTGGACATGTGACTTAAGCACCCTGCAACGGAGACAGATAGTGTTCAGGGATGTTCTGCATGTTTTGGGGAGGTTTTGGCAAATTGCATTTTTCTTCTGGGAGCTTTGAAGTTCTATAAGGCTGATAAAAATCTATTTGAATCAGTGATTACGTTCAAAGAGGAGACAAACCGGGGGCCAGACAGGCAGTGTTTTTGTTCATATTGGCAGGCACTTTCGTTTATCTCCGGTTTTAAAGAATTCGTAATTAGCTTTTGAAAGCACTGATAATATTTATTGAACATTTTTGTGCAATTAGTAATGAATTATACTTGCGGTGACGTGTAAATTTTATTGGGGGGGGGGGGGAAAGTTTGGTAACATCTTAAGAAAATACATTTCCAGTGTGAGAAGAATAGAAGGGAAGAAGAGTGAGGGGGACTCGGAGCCTTACAGTTTTTATGATTCCTGTGCAAAATGACATTTAGCTTTTGGGCAACCTGAAGTACCAGGAGATCACACCAAGAGATGTATCTTGGCACACCAGTTCCAGCCTGATAAAATGCATAGTAAATCTCTGCCTGTCAGTATGAGGCAGGATGCGAAGGCTGAAGCATTCTTTCTAGGATTTTCCATTTTTACATTTTGTCATACAATTTTTAGCCAAATGTTAGTACTCAAAAAATTGAAGCACTATCATTGAAGTAGTATTTGGTGCAGAGAAACTGCACTGTGAGACTTCCCCCACACCTAGCACAACGCCTATTTTTATGTGTTATTCACACACGTATTCTTGACCTTTAGGTTCGAAGTTCCTAGAAGTAAACATCTCTTTTTTTTTGCCTTCTCCTGGCGTTCCTATCTCCCTCTGCTCTCTACGTCTGTATCCTCTGCTGTGCTTCCAGCTCAGGCTAGGAGTCATGGCAGTGATGGGGGAGGAGAGAGACATGATTACTTTATGGCATTTCTAATCACCAAGAGTTGTCCTGCAGAAATGCTTATGCTAGCAAACACAACAAAACTACAACTGTCTATTTTCCTTGTGTATGTATTTCACTGAGGGAGGGGGAAGAGTTATACCAGAAGCCTTTTCTACTTGTTTAAGCTGCCCACTACATGGGAAAGGCTTATACCAGTCAATATTTTTAGTATGGGCTAGACTATTTTTCAATGATATTTTCTGTCATTGACAGTGGGTTGTTGGTAACGAGTATCCTCTCCTGCCAGGGATCAGTCCACTTGAGTTTATTTTTTTTCTTATTCTTCTTAAGCCTGGTGCAGTTGTTTTCTGCAGAGTAGTGGTCAGAAATCGCATGTGTTTACACCTCAGTCATACATCCTGTGTTCTGCAGGCAGCTTTGCCTCGTCTCCAGTGGCACTAAATCATTTTTGACACTCCTGGGAGGATGGGTAGTGTAACTCTGCCACTGACAAACAATAAAAGCAGTGGGCTTGAGTGCTTACAAGTATAACAAACTCATATATAATAATTTCCGTATTTGTTAATAAGTAAATTTATTGTTGGGACTAATCACTATGACAATTTTTTAAAACTATGATCCACACAAATACCACTTTTGTCTGTAACTCATATATTTACCTTCTGAATAGTTTCTACCTGGACAACAGAAAAGAGGAGGGATGAAGAATAGTGGTAAGAAAGTATCCGCCAGGATTTTATTTTTTCAGTTCTCCTGCAGACTATGTTTCAGGCTCAGTGCTGGAAAGAGGGTTTGTGTTTTCCATCCCCTTTTCCCTCCCGCAAGTGCCGGTGCGTACAGGGAGCCCAGTTGACCTGAGAGAGAGGTCTACAGCCCATCCCCATGAGCCGGGGCTTCGCTGGAAGGGTGCTTGCTCTCCAGCTCTCCTCCTAGGAGGTTTATAAGGGGCTTTTGCTGGGTATGAAAGCACCTTTGAGAGAGGTGACAACTTCTTTAGGTCCTGCTAATGTCAGATGTCACTACAGAGGTGACAGGAAGCAGAGGCTTGCACAGTAGGTGTACGCAGCAACCCGTTAGGAAGGGATGTCTTCATCAGGCTTGCCTCTCATTTTTAGCAGTTTTGTTGCCTTCTTGTCCTCTCCCCTCTACCCCTTAATAAGGAACTTAAATGTAACAGTTCTTTAAGAAAAAATCATTGGATTGTGCTATTTCTTCAAAACAACATCCATGTTTGCTTGTTATGCTAGCCATAAAAGCCTCTCAGACCAAACTTTTCTCCTTGTCCCATCATGGCAACAGCATTTATTTTAAAAAGAAGTTCACGTTTGCTTTTGCAAAAGTTAGTTTTCTTATCCCTACCTTGTCACTTCAAGATAGTAGAGCATTTTTTATTTCTGACATATTTAAAAGAAGAATTTGGTTTGAGGGAGGAGAGTTTCAAGAACCTGTTGACATTAAATTTCTCGTTGCACTCACAGGTTGATAAATATTTCATCTTTTAGAGTAATTAGGTGTCCCAGATCACCAAACCTGCTCTATTGCTGAGAGTCGAAATCAAATGATTACGTAGGAAACTTGGTGTGGTCTGTATAAGCCGCTGGCAGCCTGCTGCCATCTGCAGCTGACCATTTCTGGCTCGCTGCTACATATGCCCTGTCTGCTGTTTTTCTTTCATTCCCAATATTCACTTTAATGTATCTTTGCTGGACTCTGAAAGCTGTCAAAGGACGCAGCAGTAAATGGCCCGAGGAATTGGGACCCACATCCCTTCCCAAACAGGCTCCCTGAAACCAGGGATGAGGTCCCAAACTCACCCTCGTCAGCCAGCTGCTCCCTTATGGAAAGTATCGTCAGCCTGCAACAATTTGCCTCTCTTCACAGTGAAAAACCCCATGTAGTATTTTAAGTGTCTGTTAAAGGACATCACCACCTGGCACCTTTGGTGCCTGGCATCTTTGAGTCAAAATATATTTGCTACGTACACCGTTTCTGACAGATCTATGGACGGGTTTGCTGGATTTTGACTTCAACATCAGTTGCCAACAGTAAATTTTGTTACCTGTTGTTACACTGATATGCCCGTTTGGTCTTGCTAAGGACCATGTTCCTCTCAAAACAAAGTATTGACATATAATAGATACAGACCTCAGTCAGTTAAGCAGTATTCGAGGAACGTCATGTGTTTATTGTCTCAGATTAATTATGAAATATCACTTCTTTCCAAGGTGCTGTTTGAGTTGCTGAAAATGTGGAAAGCCATTTCTATAAGTTTGCTGTGTTTTTTGTCTAGGAAAGCCTGAGAACAGCACAAGGTAGCACCTTGGAACTACGTGGATTTCATTTACTCCTAACTTCTTCCGATTGTCTGGTGACTGTGAAAGATTTTATGGCAGGTTAAGCCAGTAAAAGAAAGGAGACCAATTAGGCAGATTCAGTTTACGTTGTGTGTAAAACAGATGCTTAATAAAATTAAGAGTACAACTGAGGCTCTCTTCTCTGCTACCTAAATTGCCATTATTATATTCCTATGTGGAGTGAATAGTACATTTGGCTATTCTCATTCTAAACCTAGTGGAAAGAATAAAAAGGAATGATGAGCAGTAGCTTTGCAGAGCGCATTTTTACAAAAGCTCACCTAGGCTAACTATCCAGCCTTTTTTTCCCTCCCCCTCCCTACAGGGCTTGCTCTCAGAAATCCTCCGAAAGGAAGAGGATCCCAAGACAGCCTCGCAGTCCTTACTGGTAAACCTTCGGGCTATGCAGAACTTCTTGCAGTTGCCAGAAGCCGAACGAGATCGGATTTACCAGGACGAAAGGGAAAGGAGCTTGAACGCAGCCTCTGCCATGGGCCCAGCACCTCTCATAAGCACACCGCCTAGCCGCCCTCCACAAGTAAACTGCTCTCTATGTCTTCTAGATGTGCTCATTCTGCTTTCTCTGTGTCCAGCTGGGTGGTATCTTTTTTTTTTTTTTTTAAACTTACTAATGCTATTACATTTTTTTAGATGCTAATTGAATCATTATTTTCTGTGCATATCACGAGTTAAATTTAGGAAATGCCTCGGATTGTAGTAGCAGCTCATTGCTATCTATTTTCTAGTTTTAAGATAATCTATACATTATGGTGCACACACAGGTGTGGTGTTTGTTTTGATTGTTCTATTAAGACATGAAGTTGATTTGGTCCTGGAACATCTTGGCTTTTAGCTCCCTTTTTTCTTATAATTCTCAGGTGTTGTTTTTATGTTACCATTTTAAATAGAGAATTTAAAGGATTTGGACAACTGAACTGAGTGGGAATGAAGGTAAAAGTATCACTTAGTACTTCATACTGCCTTAAAAATTGTCTTCCAGAAAACAAACAGGTACAACTAAAGGGAAGGGGGAGAGAAGATTCTCTCCCAAAATGTTGGGCTTTCCTTCACTAAGTCAAGCCATTGACAGCTTGCAGTGCTCTTCTAATTTATGCCTGTATGTCCAAATGGCATCCATTCAATGACTCTGCTGGAGCATAACAGTCTTGCAGTATCCATCACTCTGGAAGATTGGAATATGTTCATTAAATCTTAATTCAGTCCTCATTCAAATGAAGCTCCCATTGATTTCTGTAAAATCTATTGGGACTATTTGTTTAATGCTCCCAAAATGAGAAAGTTTGACAGACTGGGATCCAGAAACTCAATGTTGCAGTCCTTGTATCTGTCAAGGAAACTCTAAAATTTATGCTGGTTTAGGGTGCATGAAAAATATGGCTGTGAGCCACAGGAACGCGTAGGATTTCCACAAGGAAGAAATGTTGTTGTGAATGAAACACTCCAAAAAATGGTATACCTTTCCTGAAATAAGCTGCATTGCTGTAGATAACCTGCATTGCTGTAGCTCAAGGTTGTAGCTCTGCAAGGACAAAACAAACTGATATACAGATACTTGAGAAACATGCTGTATACACAATGCAGGTTAGCTATAAAAAAAAAAAAAGAAAAAACAAAGCTTTGGGATTGTGGGAATTTTATGATGATATGAGTACAGAGCAGTCTTTGACTAAGCAGGCGCAAGCATATGCCTATGACTATATTCTGTACCCATTCTGAATGCTATAAATCCCCATAGATTATTTTTTCTAAATTTTCTGCCACTAATGGATGCTAAAGACCACAGTAAGAGTAATAAATAACAAAAATGTAGGAAAAGGGAGGACAGAAGATCACTGCTGACCTGCTCTAGTACTTTTCATGAGAAGAGGAAATTTTTTTTGCAGAAGGAATAGACTGTGCTAATGGTCTAGTTTTGCTGTCATTAACTGAGTTTAGTCTGTGAAATCCACTATAGATAGTATTCAAGATAAAGGATGAGAGTCTATTTACATAGTACTGCTTTAGTGGGAAATAGTTAAATACAGATAACACTATTTAAAATAACATTGGAGCTTGGTTTAATATCTGTCCCTACTCCCACAGTCCAGGTAATTCAGAGCAAAGGCTAACCCTTCGTTCCTAACTTATCTCTCTCTGCCAAGGTAATGTCTCACTCTGTCTCAAGTGGTCTTGGGCAATTTCACAGCTAAAGAACAGAGTTAATTACAGGACCTTCCAGAAGAATGTCAAGGCAGAGGGAGTCCTTGAATTGGTTTCAACTCACACCTTAACCTCTATAAATCCCTTGCAGCCAGAAAGGAAGTGAGACTGTTTTTTTCTGACAATACATACTGTAAGTCTAGATTTGGGGGAGTGTTAGATCTCTCTACTGCATTCTTGTATATATTTACATATCAATTTTTTAGGAGGAATCAGTACAGTTAACCTACTAACATTTTATGTTCAAAGTGGAAGAAGCATACAGTTTTGATTGTTTTTATCAGGAAAACAGGTTAAAAAGGAAACTTTCAAGACTAATACTTGAGCTCTTTAGAACAAAATGATTTTTCTAGTTGTTATACCGTTCTCTGCCATGTTACAAAACATATGCACTCTACCTAGTGAATGAATCTGTGCAGACCAGGAGGTAGAAACCTCTGAGTTGGGATTCTGCGTGACCTCTTCACGTGTTGCCAGAATCATCCACCTATAACCACATGTAGCACTTGCCACCTGCTACTAACTGTTTTGAGTCCTAATTTTCAAAATTAGAATACCCATGTTAATAACATAAGTACAATACTTAGTGCTAGAAATAATAATTAAATTATTCTAGTAATTGCCCCAGCAAATACAATTTTACAAATTATAGCAGAAATGATTTATAGGCATGCTACTGCAAAATTAACTCTGATACCCACCCTAAAATGTCCACATTATATTGAGTACATTATACTAAGGAAATAAAACAATTATCATCCTTACAACTACAGAATTTATTCTAAGAAATTATTTAAAGTTTCTATCCAGGAATACAGCACAATATTTTTCTAGTTTAGCTGTGAACTTCTTGGTTAACTATTGACAGACAAAACAGACCATTTATCCTGACAACAGAATTTACGCAAGAGCCAACATATTTAATACTAAATCTTTAGACCAGTGTAACATTTGAAACAATTAAACTATGAAACCATGAAAAATGGGAGCTAATATGCCACACATGAAGGTTTATTTTGCAATTGCAAGTTATCAGTTTCGGAAGGATGTGAAAATAAACATCCTGAAAAGGATCTATTTTGCATTTTTGTGTTGCCAACTGGTGGCCAGACAGTAGAGCAGACTTAACCATTTAGCAGCTGGGCTTGTTCTATGTGAATTGTGCATACTGTTACACACAAAAACAGAAAGCATGACCTTGGAGGTCTGGTAGGATAGTAGCAACTCACCAAGCCTAAACCCTGGTGCCTGAGTTAGAAGGAACTATGCTGAATTTATCTCATTTTTACAGCATTCTTACTAGTTGCAACTTGAGCTAATGTATCTGGATTGCTTCCAATTCTTTTTTGAAATCCCTTAAGAAGCTCTTTGTCCCCCATAGTTCTCCCTTTCTCTCTGACTTAAACAAAAAAGAAAAATCTTTTTTTTTTTTTTTTTAATTGAAAACATTAGCCTCTAATGCCTGAGCTATCAGGATGTGTGTATGGCACCCAAGCTGGTCAAGCTGTAGAAGTCTGCTGCTATCGTCCACACTGGCGGACTGACCGTGAGGGGACAGCATGCACAAGATTTTCCCCTTAATGTTGTTCACCTTGCCATTTTCCTGTGATAGAAGGCCTGTGTTAAACTCTTTCCTGGAGTAGCACAATTTGTAAATACTAGCATCTCCAGCAGGTAGGTGGAGATGTGCATGGAGACACAGTTCAACTCCTCCAACCTAGAGGGAAGAAAAAAAACTCCTTTCTTGTCCTAGTTCTCTTATTCCTGCCTTTTTTTAATTGAACACCCTTTACCTTACCACAGGGGTCTTTTCTAGACCCAAGTCAAGCTCAAGGGACAAGACTGATGTATGTCACGGGGGAATGAGAGGGAATGGGGATACTTTAGGGACCGTTCAGTGTTGAGCTGTGTTGGAGGGTGGCATAGTGCCCACTGGGGATGGACTCACCATCCACTCAGGCAGGGCCTGTTGAACATCTGGAGAGGAAGAGAGGTTCTCCTCCTCTGAAGGAGAACTGGAGGGGAGAACAGGGCAGGCAAGCAAGTTTCAGATTTTCTTTTTCAGAATATTTGGGTAAAAGCTGATTAGCCTTTCTGCAGTTTTGAGTGGTTATTTCTCAGAAGAGCAAATAATCTTCATTTTAGAAGAGCTAGAGAAGAATTCCCTCCCCCCCATCCCTATTCCCCAAAGAAAATTCCTGTCAACTCTTTGGGTTCATCATCATCCTGTATAAAAACAGAGTACGTGTAAGTCAAGGGCAGAATATAATTTGAACAAGACAGTGTCTTAGGTATCCACAAATCTTGCACGAGTCACTGTTCTGCATACTCATTTTAAGAAAACCTTAATTTTCACGAATATAATCCTGGCCTGCCTCTGGCTGCGGATAAAATACAGTTCATTCATGCTAAAGCAGTTTCAGCTTGGGTCCCAGAAATATGATGTCACTCTTGAAAGACTGGTCTTAAGGATAACACTTGTCTTGCTAGTCTTAAAGACTAGTGAATCTCCAATTCAGAGAACTCTGGATAACTCCAGCTCCCAGTCAGCTTCACTGTGGAGTCCTGGAATTCAAACATACACACAAGTCATACTTAGCCACCAGCAAAATTTGTATTTCTAAGTCTCTCAACAATTTGAGATTTAGGTTGGTAGTCTTTGTGCCAAATTGCATTTTAATGAAACTCAAAATGAACAAAATATTAAATGCAACCCTCTCCCCCTGCAAAAACCACCATGGAGGAGAGTTAATGGAAACACTGACACTTAACTATAACTGCACTTCCAGGCGCCACTGTAATAATGGAGTAGTAAACCTTGTCCTGATAAAAGCTGTTCTGAAAGCAACAGCATTTATTGTACCCCTTGTGCTATTTGCAGAGCAGAACTGAAAAGTGGTTTGTTTTGCCTGGAATGAACTACTTTATGAATTTTAATGTACGATGTAATATTAAAAGCTAAACTAGGATTAAAGGAGATTTTTGTTCCCAAGCTAAAACAGTACTTATGAGAATGTGTTATAAAAGATTTTTTTTTTTTTGTTTCAGTTTCGAT